TCCCTTGTCTTCCCCTCATCAGTTCCTGTGTATTTAAAGTGTGTTCTAGTTCTTGTCCTTTGTCAGTCGTTAAACGTCATCCTGTCCTCCTGATGTGTCGAGTCCTGTGATCCCCAGCCTTTGTTTAATAAACCCTTTTGAGTTACTTTACACCGTGTCTCCTCGTGTGTGTGAACCGTGACAGCCACAGAGCAGCCGCTACTCAAAAAAAACAAATCTTGATCCAACAGTTTTAAATAATTACCGTCCCATTTCTAAATTACCGTTTTAATCAAAAGTTTTGGAGAAGGTTGTGTTTAATCAGCTTTCTTCTTTTCTACAGGAAAATAGTAATTTCGATAAATATCAGTCTGGCTTCAGACCTCAACACAGTACGGAATCTGCATTGTTAAAGGTATTAAACGACTTATTGTTGATTGTCGATTCCGGCAATTGTGCTGTTTTAATTTTGCTGGACCTCAGTGCGGCATTTGACACTCTCGATCATGGCATTCTTTTAAATCGCTTACAACAAATTTGGATTCAAGGTCGTGTTTTAAATTGGTTTGTATCCTATTTAAAGGATCGAACCTTCTCGATAGAGACTGGCAAATATTCATCATCTTGTGCACCAGTTTTGTATGGGGTTCCACAGGGCTCAATTTTGGGTCCTGTTCTATTTCCTTTATACATGTGTAGCGAATCAGCTCATGGGGAAATATGGATAATTAATCATAACTAGTTATAATTAATTATAAATATTTAGATCCGCTGTAGATATTTACTTGACCTCTCAGGGTCAACTGTCTGTCAATTCTAAGTACGTTAATTTCCTGGTTAAGGGAAATAACTTTCTTACTGTACAATTCTACAAAGAGCTTGTAGCATAAATCTGCATGATTAAGTGACTCCAGTTATGAGCAAACAATGAACAACGTCAAGTGTGATACAAGTAAGACTTTATTAACTACATAAACACTTAAACTAGTCCAACATACTACATAAACACTTAAACTAGTCCAACATACTACATAAACACTTAAACTAGTCCAACATACTACATAAACACTTAAACTAGTCCAACATACTACATAAACACTTAAACTAGTCCAACATACTACATAAACACTTAAACTAGTCCAACATACTACATAAACACTTAAACTGAGAGGTCAAGTAAATACTTACAGCGGTTCTAAATATTTATAATTAATTATAACTAGTTATGATTAATTATTCATATTTCCCCTTTGAACTGATTCGCTACATGGGTGTTTCACAGTCTCTATTGTCACGTCTTCAATTTGTTCAAAATGCTGCCGCTAGATTGTTAACTGGAACAAGGAAGAGGGATATTTCACCAGTGATGATCTCTCTCCACTGGCTCCCAGTTAAATATCGTATCCATTTTAAAACATTGTTGTTTGCTTATAACGGTTTGCATGACATAAGTAACCTGAGACGTTAGCTTATGTGATGTTCTCTCAAATTTGTTAAAAACTCAGTTGTATTGAAAATTCAACATTCAAGATGACTTTGGGAAACGAGTGAATGCAACTAGTGAAAGATAACTGCAGACATGGAGGAAATGGGTGAAAAGTTTATTAAGACTCTTTTTCTTTTCTTCTTCTTCTGTTGTTATGTTGCACATTAACAACATATTAGTGCACTGCTGCCTCTCACTGGTTTATTAATATCATTGGTTCCTTTGTGGCTACTTGAATATTTTAAGTAAGTGTCACTCAAAACAGTAAGTAAATTGTTTTATTTGCCTTGAAAGTAGCTGTAACTTAATAAAACCTAGTAAGTATAACAACTAAGTAAAGGTAACTAACTAAATCTAAGTAAGGTAAACTATTGGATTTTACAGTGTACGTCATATATTTCCGATCTCCTTCTGTTTCACTGTAATGCCTCCAGGAAACTTCGATCAACTAGTAGTCTTCAGTTGACTGTTCCAAGGACACGCTTGAAATCGAAAGGAGATTGTGCCTTTTGAGTGGCTGCTCCTCAGCTATGGAACATGTTGCCACCCTATATAAGAACTGCACCAACATACGCTGATTTTAAGTCTCTTCTTAAAACTTATTTATTTACTGTTGCATATGGTCATAAGTAAGCACAGTGGCATAACTGTAGCGTACTATCTGTCGCTGTGTTCTATGTTTACTTTTGTATTTTGTTATATGCTTAAATTTTGTACAGCACTTTGGCCAACAGCTGTTGTTTTTAAATGTGCTCTATAAATAAAATTGACTAACTGACTGACTGACTATTGTTAATGTGCTCATGGAATATCATTCTTCTCAAATGCTCTTTTGTTGGTTTTGATTGCTTCTATTGTCCTCAGTTACGTCACATTAAAGAAAAGCGTCTGCTAAATGACAACTCTTAACATTTAATTTTTTTTTCTGATTCAAGCATTGTTAATGAACAACTATTACAAATTACCATGCTGACTTACATTTGTTTTCTGCATTTTGAAAAATAAATGTTTTGAAATGTGAATGGAGGGCTGTTTTTTTTTTTTAACTAGGTAGGCCTATAGTTATTCTCAATGTTCCTCAGATCACCGATTCAATTAAGTTAACTAAGCTTAAATGGTTTAAGTAAATAGGACTTAAAATAAGTAAGGAATACTTTTAATATATTAGTACATAATACTTAAATGACACGTTATTCAATTAAGATTGCAACGAGTTTGCACAATTTAATTAAGTGAACTTAAATTACTTTTTACAGTGACATCTAACATCAATTTAAATCTGTTTTTCATACAGGTGTGTCTGTATTATTATTATAATTTTTTTAATAATAAATAGCAACGTCACATACAACCTTGTGTGATGGCCTCATATGTGCATGAAGGGGAAAAACTGATCAAGACTGCATTTAAATGTTCACTTGCAGGAAGGATAAACTTCATCCCATTTTCCAATTTGTACTATAAGTGTGTTTTGGGGTGTTCTACAAGGTCAAAATTAGCTATGAAACACTGTGTAGTTACATGCATCCTGGAACCTTAAACTATCCTGTTACATTTTCATACATGTTATACAATTTACACTACTTAATTCTTCCCTATTAGAGAGAAAAGTAACATCTTTCATGTAGAAAATTCATATTTTTTCCTAGTAAAACTTTCTAGATCTTATTGTAAATGATTCAACCATGCATGTTTTTTTTTTTTTTTTTTTAATTCAAATATAACGTCCAATGAAATAACAAGAGGTCTTTCTGGTAACTTATGCCAGACTTCTCTAATAACTTAGTCCACTTAAACCCTCACCTTTTCTTGCAGTAAGCGGCAAGCTCACATTTGGACCCCACCTTAAGTTTTATTTCTTCACAATAATCTGTTTCAGATGCACCTAACAGTACAGAAGAAAAGATGTCACTACTTCCATTATATCACAATTTTACTATCTTTGACCATACAACATGAACAAAGTAGTTTTTCAACATTCAGACTTCAACCTTACGTGACTTTTTTTCTTTAATTAAAAATGAAGCAATGTCTGTATCAAGCTACATGTTTGTAATTAATTTTATTTGAATGAATTCAATTGAATTCAATTTATTTTAATGTTATTGTAATTATACATATGTACAATGAAATTAGAATAGCTTCCCTTCAACATAATTAACATATCACATAGTACTGTACACATATAACAAAACATGATTTACAAATATAACTCTGTGCTACATACACATTAAAGAGTTTAATTGCACTAAAACTTACAATCAGCATAGGAATAAAGAGTTGTATTGCACTAAGGTTTACATTCAGAGTAAGAAAAAAGAAAGTGCATTACACTAAAACTGACATTCAGAGTGAAGAACATATATGAAGTCAGTACATATTGAAGTTCATAATGTTTATGGCTACAGAAACTGTCCTTAAATCTAGTCCTTGTATTAATGCACCGGTAGCACCTGACTGATGGCAACAAGTGAAAACCAGGGTGTGTGGAGTCTTTTAGTATATTTTTGGCCTTATTGAGGACTCAAATTATATACAGGTGCATGATTTAGAATATCATGAAAAAGTTCTTTTTTTTGGTAACTTGTTTCAAAAAGTGAAACTTTAATTTATTCTAGATTCATTACATGTAAAGTAAACCATTTAAAAAGTTTTTTTTTTTTTTTTTTTAATTTTGATGATTTAAAAAAAAAAAAAAAAAAAAAAAGATTACTATATTTAAAACCATGGTAACCACAAATTACTAATTGCAGCGCGTTTCTGTATTTGGTCGTGTTGCAAGTATTTGCACGTTTCTGTATTTTGAGTATTTGCAGTACACGTGTTGTCAAACTGATGAAGATCTTCCCTTAATTTGTTGGTGCATGTGTTTTTTTAAGTTGCAGTGTGTTGAGCTCTCTTGGCCACCATAGAAAACAATAGTTTATTAATAAAATATAATATTTCCTTGCTATTCTTCCCACTAATGATCATGAAGACATTGATTAGCATGCTCAGGTGTGTTTGATTAGGGTTAGAGCTAAACTCTGCAGGAAAGTGGATCTCGTGGGCCAGATTTGAGGATCCCTGGTCTAGGATGTGTTGCCAACATGACTTTTGTTTCAGATGACTGGATTTTTGAGAGGCCGTCCAATTGGTACTTCCTAGGGCAGCTCCTGAACATTGAAGCTTCTGTGAAGCAGTACAACCATGTTCCTCTGTGTATATTTGTGGATGGCTGTGTTGCTACTGTGGCCCCTGGTGTGAAAATCTCGCCACAATATTCTTTTATTGAGAACCATGGGTTAGTAAAGAATCTCCTTGAACTCCCATGTTGAAAACCAAGCCTAAAGATGTGTGTTGGTTGTTGTGTAGGGTGTTTTTATTTAGCCTTTTTTTTTTCCCCCTCTCCCTTCAGGTGCATGGTGCAAAGTTTACAGGCTCCACTTCCAGGTTCATGCATCGAGTTCAGAATGACAAGCTGCAGTTTCAGTTAGAGGCTTTCAGATTCCATCAAGATGATAGTGACTTGGTATGTAATTTGGACTGTAGTTCTGTGGGCAAGTTCTTTTACTGATCGTGTTTCTTCTGTAGGTTTACATCACCTGTGCTCTGAAGGCTGTCATGGCCTCAACCCCCACAAGTCCAGATAACAAGGCTTGCTTTTTCACTAATGGTTATTATTATTATTATTATTATTACTAAATTTAAGAAAAGCTGTCTAATGTCATGGTGTCCAAAGTGGGTAACCAGTTTTGTTTTCCCTCAACAGGTGGACTTCTGTAGATGACAGTGACCAGGTGTGCATGTGCTGCGACTCCACATGCAATTTGAGCAGGAAAGGACGAGCACTGTCCGATTCAGGTAACCTCTGTTTTATGTCTTTATGCTCCTTTTTAATGAGAAGGACTTTTACATTTTTCTCCTTGTCATTTGTTTTCAGGCCTGGTATCAGAAGAGAAAGTAACTATAGGCCCCATTGTGATTGTTGAGTGATGTATTGTGAATGGCATAAAGGGCCAATAAAAGGGTTTAAATAATAGCAGTTAGGGGTGTTTTTTTATTTGATTTAATTATCTAATTTTGGTCCACTAGTAAATGGGGTTTTAATGTAGTTACAAGTTTGGTTTTCAGTGTGCCAGGTGCTGCAATGCAAAACTGCATGCTGAGTTGGTGTACACAACTCACAAAGTGATTCCTTCTGGGTAATTTTTTTTTATCCCCCCCCCACTCCCAAATGAAATATCCTGTTTCCAAAATCCACAAACTCTCCTTTTAAATTCTGTACGCGAAGGCTGGATGTTTGCTCACTGAGCACTAAACAAAGGAAAAAAAGATAGGATGGAAGAAAAATAGGACTCTATGAAAAAGCTCCCACCTCACAGATGATTGGCGAAAACTAAAACCAATTAAAATTGACAGTAGCAATGATCATCAGCAATACCACCTCAAAGAGGCCACCTTCAATCGTTTGTGCTATGAGGCAATTTATTTGTCGATTTGTAGTTGCATTTCAACTTTGCCATGCATTTAAGTGGAAGTTTTCATACATAATTCCCACAACACATAATTTACTTATGTTTGTTGTTAAATAGGGCTGAAATGATAACTCTATGTTAGCAATGTTGACAAAAAAATTTTAATTTTTGTCAAGTAGTCTTTTGATCTCATATGATCTAACATAAGGGCCTGTAATTATGCAGTTTGGACATTGTGGTGCTGTAGTGCAAAATTCAGTCCTCGCGAATGCAATCCAATAGAAAGACACAGTGCTTGTGAGAATATGGCTATGTCTGAAAGCTTAAGCAGCAGAGTTGTTGTTCTGAGGCAGCATAATGGTTTAAAAAAACAGTTGAATGGAGAGAGCTTTGGTGGTAACTAAGCAAATATTCAACTACTATAATAGTATAATGTAGTTATAAGGTTATAATACCAACTGTCACAGAATCAAATGCACGGGATTGCGGGACATCATAGGCAGTAAAGGGTAGATCTATGCTGCCTTTAAAAATGAGTAAGATTTCAGTTGACAGAATGCGATCTTTGGGTTCGACATGCCTTGTTGCCTTCCTAATTCTGTATGCTGTATGATATATTCATGACAAAGTATACTTTTAGTGAACATCTGAGCACTGCTGAGAATAAAAAAATAAACAAACACAAAAAAATTAGTGATGCGAAAACCGCAATTAAGAAAGCATCTGATCATAGCGATGTGAATATGTTTGCACTAGCTCTGCAATTCAGCACTCCAGTCAAGTCATGCCACATTTGTTTATGTAACATTTTATAATAGGCCAATAGATTGCTTTAAAGCAAAACACTATAAAGTATTAAGCATGAAAAAAAGTGTCAGCGTTGCTTTCATTTTTTAGAATTACAACTTGATTTTTGCCTATGTGTGAAGCTAGCCAATGTTAAACCTTTTTATTTGTGAATGGGGGAAAAAAAAACATTGCATTAAAGACAGTTCAGTTCTAGTGGTGTAGATGGTAAGGTGCGTACTTTTTGACACGATCGACCCGAGTTCGAACCCGCATTTTGCCAAAATTGTATATAAAAACAATATACAATGGTAGATGAATAAACACCAATTGCTTGCACATGTGTAATGCACATTTACCATGAAAAAGAGGGATGAGTAAAAGTATAAAAAATACAAAACATACTCTAACATTAGATCTTGCTGAGAGTCCCAGCTCCAAAGTCTTACAGTCAACGGGTGTATATAGCAACAGAAAAAGATGTCCAGCCTCTGAATCTTAAATTTAACAAAATAAATGGGAACAGAATATAAGAATAAAATAAAATAAATAAATAATGATAATAATAAATAAATAAGAGAACATTTAAACAACTTAATAAACAATCAAAATTAAAATATGTACACATTCCCATATATAATGTGCATTCACTTGATATACCAATAATATAAACTTAAAAGGTACAGAACGAATCTAAAATGTTATGATCGCACATACTATTTGATACAAATATGTGTGCGGCAACGTAACAATACTGTCCAATTAGTAGTAAAATATAAATAAGTCGTGGGGTTTTATGACAGTTATAGAATAAAAAGATGTGGGCGCAAGACTCAACGAGTGTCTACGCCATCACACCAAACCGGAAGTCCTGCCAAACTTTTTTTTCTCCATTTTCAAATATCATATTATTCAGAAAGGCATTTATTTTCAATAAAAATTAAGGAAACAATCAAAAAGTTGAAAATAAAGTATTGGGTAGAGTTAAGGTAGGTGTAGGGAGGGCTTTATTGTCCCAATAAGGTGGCACCCATTTAATAATTTGAATTAAAATGATAATTTACACTCTACAATACTGAGGTGCAGATAATTGCCACTATTTGAAGTTAGTATGAATAGCAGAAAATCTTGCTATTTTAACATAGTGTAAGTAGAATCTATAGCTATTTGCACTGAAGGAGTGGATCGCAGATCTACAATGGCCTTCATAATAATTTAATTATAATATTTCTTGAATAATTATTAATCAAAGTTACATTTATGCATGTTAGAGAATAAGTTGATTATGGCTTTAGTCTGCCTTTTTACTCTCTAAGAAGCTGCTTTCATTGTGTGTGTGACCATGCCCGATAAGGTTTAGGGCTGAGGCAACCTTGAAGTAAGATAAGTGTTTCTCTGCGTATGTGTGTTAGTATCTGTCTGTACAGGGAGAAGCTCAGACAGTCCCAGGACAAACGTTCAACTGCCAATGTCCAGCGTATCAGACATACGTCTTTGGAGAGACGTATTGCGTCTGTCCTCTGATTACTTGTCACCAAAATAGTCGTCAGAAGATATGCTTCAAGCTTGCGTCCATATGTGGAAATTGTCTAAGTTTATCTAGGTTTTAGAACCAATCAAAATTTTGCTGACTTATGCATTGACGCATTTAGCGATCTCTGTCAGGGTATAATTGTTTAACGAACTCCATTGCGAGTATTGAAGCTGGCTTCTGCTGATGAAACTGCAAACTATTTTCTTCAGTAAAATTTTATTTAATTGATCGCGTCTCTGACTCCTGGTCTTCATTCATCATATCTGGTCCTTGGGTTTTAACTGTAAATTCCCCTAGAGCACTTAGTGTAAATAGCATCCATCGCTATTTGCATTTAGTGTAAATAGCATCTATCGCTAAGAAAATGTTATTTTCACCAGAGGTGGAAAGAGCACGAAAATATTCTACTCAAGTAAAAGTACCATTACATTAATGAAATTTGACTTAAGTACAAGTAAAAGTACCAGTCTAAAAATCTACTTAAGTAAAAGTAAAAAGTAGCTCATTTAAAATTTACTCGGAGTAAAAATGACTTAGTTACATTTTAACAGTGGGAGGGAGGCAAAAATGGGATAGGCCTATAAATCTCAAACTAGTTGTTTTTAATTAAAGGAATCAGTTATTTAGAACAATAAGCCATTTGGGCTGTTACCAGGCAAATGAACTCAGTATCAACAAAAGTCATCTTTGCAATGCAGAGGAAACACAAAAGCTTCATCGGAAGTGGCATTTAGATTACACACTGTTTAATGCAGGACATGAATGCATTTAACCTGCAGTTACAAATGCAGAAATAATGTTTTGATATATAAGACATAAAATGTTGAATACTCAATTGAAATGATAAGAAAACAAAAAACAAAAGATACTTTAAATGTGAAATTAAAACCGCCAGTAGGTGTCCACAAGTCACTCTCAATAAGTGAGTAACTGCGATTGAACCGAATCATTTAAGCGGTTGATTCATTCAGGAATGAAACACCATCATGTTGCTCAGAGACACAAAACTGTGCTCTGGTGGCTGTGTTTGGAATTATTTTTGTTGTCGAAATAGAGCAAAAACAGGCAATATGGTGTCTAAAACGCAAGTCTCGTAATTAACTTGTTTATTGAACTGCTGTAAAAAAAAATCTATATGTAATCATGCTGATTTTTGGAGGAAAAAATGGCACTCTTCGTCTGATATTGATTTACCATATGAAATGATATAAATATATAAATTTTCTGCCCCTATATCTTCAATTGTAATCATTCTAAATGCATTTTAACAGACTAAATCACGCAGTGAAAGAACACAGTCTAAATGTGCGAGCGCCACGGCACTCTGTAGGAGTGTTTTGTTTGGTTTTTGGCAAAATACTTATAATGTCAAATCGCACATCGTTAAAACAACAATTACGATATTATCACAGATTATATATATATCACACACCTTGCCCCACTGTCTTTTTGTCTAATTTGTGCAAAACCTCTTGCTAAACTGTCAAAGCTTCATTTTAACTACCAATTCAACGATGCAAGTATTTAGGCTACCTTACATGTCGAGATGGTTGATGTCGAGATTTTATAAGATGCTAGTTTGGTCTCCCTAGGCAAACACAGCTTACACTGCATAATAGAGCTTAAATATGGCCAGGGGTTCAAATTCATTAGAATACGACGGGGTTTCATTTTCAGCTGGGTCTGCACCATAACGCGTGTCTTGTTCGTCTGCATCTTTCTTGCGATTTTAGCGCCAGTTTGCTCTCCTGCCCATTATTTACTGCAGTAGTTTCCAGGGAGCGATTTTTTTTTTTTTTTACTCAGTAATTAATGTGTTTTAAAATGTAGTGAAGTACAATACTTCAAACAAAATATACTTAAGTAAAAGTAAAATGATAGATTTTAAAAATTACTTTAAAAAGTAGAAGTACACAAAAAAGCTACTCAATTACAGTAACGCGAGTAAATGTAATTCATTACTTTCCACCTCTGGATATAACACCAACATATTGGAAAAAAAATTTAAAAAACAATCACTGAGTTGGAAAAAGGATCACCCCCTTGTGTCAGTATTTTGTTGAACCACCTTTTGCTTGAATTACAGCCTTTAGTCTCTTGGGATCTGTCTCCGTCTCTACTAACTCTGCACATCTAGACATCCTTCAACCACTGTGAGCTCAGTTTTGCTGTGTGCTTTGGGTCATTGTCATGTTGGAAGGTAAACCTTCTTCCCATCTGAGCAGTT